TACCTGCTCAGGTGAGGCCGGGCGGGGCTCAGGGGCAGTGGGATTAGGATCAGGATCAGGGATTGGGATCAGGATCAGGGATCGGGATCAGGGATCGGAATCAGGGATTGGGATCAGGATCAGGGATCAGGACCCCCGCCCGTACCTGCTCAGGTGAGGCCGGGCGGGGCTCAGGGGCCGCGGGCGGGGCCCCGGCGCCATCCCAGAGCTGCAGCGAGTCCAGGTGCTCCTGGATGTCCCCGATGTCCATCCGCTCCGGGGGCTCCTCGGGGACACGGCCTGGGCACAGCCGGACATGGCGCGGGCTGGCACCGGCACCGGGCAAAACACCGGCACCGGCACCGGGCAAAACACCGGCACCGGCACCGGGCACAAACACCGGCACCAACACCGGGCACCAAGCACAAGCACCGGCACCGACACCAGGCACCAACACAGACACCGGACACTGAAACGGGCTCTGACACCGACACCAGCACCGGGCACTGGCACTGGCACAGGCGGCACTGGAGAGGGACGGGGCAGCAGGGAGAGGACAGGAGGGGAAAAGGAGAAGGAAGGAGCAAGGGCAGGGGGAGGGTGAGGAAATAACAGCATGATGAAAAACAGGAACAGTGTGAGGATGAGGAGGAAGGAGTGGGATGAGGATGATAAGGAGGGGCAGGCTGAGGATGAGGAGGGGCAGGCTGAGGATGAGAAGGGGCAGGCTGAGGATGATGAGGAGGGGCAGGCTGAGGATGAGGAGGGGCAGGCTGAGGATGAGGAGGGGCAGGCTGAGGACGATGAGGAGGAAGGGGCAGGCTGAGGATGAGGAGGGGCAGGCTGAGGCTGCTGAGGAAGGCTCCGAGGCCGTACCTGCGCCAGGTGAGCCGTCCCCGTCGCCGTGCAGCCCCGCAGCGCGCAGGAGCTGCAGCGCCTGCCGCTGCCGCTCGGCTCCGGGCGCCGGTGCCGCTCCCGGTGCCGCTCCCGGTGCCGGTGCCGGCGCCGGCCGCGCCGAGAGCAGGAAGAGGAAGGCCGGGTCGCCGTCGCGGCGGATGCCGTAGGAGCCCAGGCTGCGCCCGTCCCGGCACAGGCTCTGCCCGATGATCCAGCGCTGCGCCGCCGGCGGGAAGCCGTACTCCCGGAACACCTGCGGGTCACACGGGAGCACACGGGAGCACACGGGAGCAGGGGGATCACACGGGATCACGGGGAGCACACGGGAGCACACAGGAGCAGGGGGATCACACAGGAGCAGGGGGAAAGCCGTCTTCCCAGAACACCTGGGGATCAGGGGTCAGAGGGATCCTAGGGGATCAGAGGGATGCTCTGGGATCAGGGGTCAGAGGGATCCTAGGGGATCAGAGGGATGCTCTGGGATCAGGGGTCAGGGGGATTTTAGGGGATCAGAGGGATTCTCTGGGATCAGGGGTCAGGGGGA